GCAATTGTCAGAAACAACAGTGTATAAGATCAAGAACATCTCTACTAAATGGATTTGCAAGTATGGGCCAGCACTTACTGGGGGATGCTCTGCACTGTGCTTGTCTGCACAATAGAGACAAATATTCAGGAGGAGGCTGTAATTGGCCCAAGTCCATCCAGGAGGCCTGGAGCAACCATGGAGCTGGCAGTGCCTCTGGTCTACACCTAAGAATGCACTGGAAGGTCAGATGAAACACATATTGATGATGTTACTTTCTAGGGACCAGTATCAGAGTTCCCAGAGAGAAAATTAGCATGAGTTCCCTTGTCTCAGCACTAAATCACTGAATGATCTTTTTCAAGCTTGCTCTATAGTTTTATTGGCATTTCATTGAATCTTAAACTCTTCCAAAGCTCTGCATTGAGTATCTCCAATTTTTGAGTCATGTTACAATTTATGTTACACTGCCATTACGTTCTTCCTCAATCTTTGCTAATAACCTCATTTCTTTCTCCCATTCTTGGCACTTTCCTAGTATCATTTGTGATGCTAAGAAATAACCTCATTTCTCTGCACTATCTTCTCCTTTATTGTTCCCCTTAAACCCTGACTACACTATGAACAGCATTCACAGGCAGTACTCCATTACATTTTCTATATAGCCTATGCAAAACATCATGTATATAGGTTGGAAAGCTAAGCAGATGCCAGATGGAAGGTTGTCCTAAATCTCTCCTCCTGTGAAATCATTCTGTGCCCTGTTCCTGCGGGACAAAACAGCATGTGGTTATGTAGATAAGGGTGGAATCCTAACATAGATACTCTATGGGAACAATTAATACTATTTTTTCCTCAGTTGTTGGGGATTGGAGAAAGAAACAAATATTGTAGATGTAGAACCATGAATGTTGATCCATGGACTTGATTGCTCAGGCTACCTGATACAGTTGTATTATGTATAAATATAATATATTTATATTGCTTTATATAGTACAAAACAATACAAAGAGGTAAGAATCCCAAAGCAATGACCAGCATATGTAATCTGTGCTGGAACACAGAATTTCACTCACATATACAAAAAAAAAGTCTAGTTTTTAACAACTCAGGATTTTCAGGCCATTTAGGTGGGATTCATTTCCCCCATTGTCCAGTGTCTATAGCAGAGGTGACTGCCTCAGCTGATCATCTTGGTGTCTAAGTGCAGTCAGTGGAGGAGCCAGCACCATTCATCTCCTCTACTTTAGACATTTACTTTAGGATGGGGTGATTCTGCCCTATGGGTCTCTCTAAGAGTGTAGTACAGGGATGTAATGCAATGCAAGACTGAAGTGCTATTAATCTTACAGTTTTTTAAAAAGGGTAGGTTAACTCATGGCTTAGTATTACAGCCTTTAGTTCCTCTTAGACCACATTCAGATCTGAGGTGAATAGGGTCTTGTTGAGTGGCTCCTGTTGAGTAAGGTCTGAAATTTTCAAGCATAAATTTAAAAAAATTTGGGTTTTGGACCAGTGCTGTGTTATATAAAAGTAACCAGTTTCAAAGTGCTGCTCAGACACTGCATCATCATACCAAAACATTAGTGAAGAGAAGGGAAGCAACAGTGCCTGGAACAGTTATAAAGGAGGCCTTATGCAGATGTTACCAGAATGGCAGGATCAACAGATCTGAAGCAGGAGCAATCGCTGCAATGAAAAGATTACCGATCGGATAAAAGTTGTTTGTGTGGATGGTAAAACACCAAGCTGAAGATGAGGTCTTCCTCCATGGAAAAAAAAAATTGGGTACAGCACAATTTGCTGCTACATAGCTGTAGAGAAAGTTAGAAAAACTGTCGCTCACATCCTCTGTCCTCGAGAAAAGGATGGCTATTTCCATTCCAAAATGTATTCCCCTCCCTTTTTTCTTTTAGTGCTGAGAACTGACATTCTTACATCTGGAGTCCTTTCTTTATCAGAATAAAACATTCCCGACCATCTGCAACAGCTTTCGGGCATCGTGCCAGACCAACAGCATTCCCCAGCGGAGAGCAGAGAGCAGTTATCCAGAGGAACCGGGCGCGCAAGAGCTGTTGAGGCAGCGCTGTTGGGGTGGCCTCCAAAAGGCTTGGCAGAGGCCAGCAGGAATGCTGACTGATTTCACTTCGCTGGAGATGCAGCCTATTAGGATTTGTGCTCCTGATGAAACCTCTGCAGCCATCTATATTTGCTTCTGAGCAGCCCTGTTCAACCATGGCCTAATTCTGTGCGCACCAACATATACTTTAATCCTAGAGCAGGTCCAGATAGGCGTTTAATGGTGACAGGCACCTGAGCTGGTTCCTTAATTGACTGTTTTTGCCTCCTAACCATGTTCATTTTTCAAACATTTGGGGAAGAACAAGCTCTTAGATCATGCCTCTCAAACAAAGCTATTTCACAGAGTCACAGAATTGTAGGGGTTGGAAAGGACCTCGAGAGATCATCGGGTCCACCCCCCATGTCAAAGCAGGTTCCTTAGAGCAAGCTGCCCAGGTAGGCATCCAGACAGGCCTTGACTATCTCCAGAGAAGGAGACTCCACAACCTCCCTGGGCAGCCTGTCCCAGTGTTCCGTCAGCCTCACTGTGAAGAATTCCTTTTGCACGTTGGTGCAGAACTTCCTGGGCTCAGTTTTGTGGCCATTGCCCCTTGTCCTGTCCCCATGAACCGCTGAAAAGAGGGTGGCCAAGTCCCCCTGTACTTCCACACCTCAGGTATTTATAAACATTGATGAGATCCGCTCTCAGTCTTCTCAAGGCTGAACAGACGCAGGTCTCTCAGCCTTTCCTCATAGGGAAGATGCTCCAGGCCCCGTATCATCTTTGTGGCCTTAAAATTTGCATTATTATTAATTACTGCCTTGCAGAGGTTTGAGTTTTACACATATGATGCCCTCACCTAGATTTCACCGGAGATAAAAACAGAAGACACCAGACAAAACAGAAGACCTGAAGAAACTGCATCGCTGTAGAGATCACCCTAACTTCAAACGAAGAGAAGTGGAGGTTTGTTTTGGGGTAGGATAAGAGGTCTGGAAGGATTTCTTCAAACTAGAATATTTATTTAGGCTGTAATCATAGCTGTAACTGCTCTGCATGGCTTCCAGGCTAGGATTCTCACTAATCCATAATCAGAGGAGGTTTTCTTTCTGATTTGAATCAATTCCTTAGGAGAAGTTTAAATACCTATTCAAATAGCTTTATCTACTTTAGTAGAAGAGCATCTTTTGGTAAAAATAATCCTTAGATTATTGATGTAGCATTCACTGACTGTGTTCTTTCTAGATCAAATGTATCTCAGGGTTTGGCTGTATATTTCCTCTTTTTTGGTGTATTTCTTCTGTTGGAGTTTTTGGGGGGTTGTTTTGTGTTTTTTGTTTGTTTGTTTACTTATTAATGCAGCATAAGCTATATTAGACTATGCATTTTATATACATTCTATTTTGGACATATTCGGGACATAAGAAGGGCTTATATTTTGGAAAGCTGCTTAATTTTTCAAGTTACACCAGCTGGTCTAATAAAAGACCTTACCAGTAAACCTCGTCTCACTAATACCTGCTTGCAGTATAACCCATTCTGTCAGAGCAACAGATGGTAGAAACCTGTTACAGCCTGGAAGTTTTCTGCCTCCCCTGAGCACAATTTAAAAGGTGGTGACCTTTTTTTTCCCTAAAACATGGCCATTTACTGACACAAAGAAAATGAAAGAATTTTAAAAAGAAAAGCACATGCTTGCAACCGTATGTTGGCTTCAGAACCTAGCTGAAGTTTTTCAACTTGAAGCATGAAGGAATCAAAACCAGAAGAATGAAGAATGTGTAACAAAAGGAGCACAGTGTTAGTGCTCATGAAAAAGGATGGGGAAAAGCTCCGCTGGAAAGATTTTTGTGAAAAGTTACTTACCCCTGTGTTTTCAAAATTTGTGTATCTAATTGTTATTTACTCATTGTACTATGGTGGCTCAGGAGCAGTTGAGGTTGGTGCTATGTATACATGGATAAATAGTTTTCCAACCTAAATCCAAGGCAGAAGACAACAGACCTATACGAAGAGAGAGGAAACAATGCAAGTGCATTAGTCAGCAAGGCAGCGTGTATTGCCAAGTATTTCTAGGCATCAGGGCCAAGGCGAGCTTAGAGGAGGAATCTGAAGGAGAACAATGAACTTGGCTGATAGATATTTAATGGGAAGAGTTCTGAAAATGTGGCAGAAGGGGTGAGAGACAGAAGCAAGAACTGCTCTCTTAAGGCGGATGATAGGAAGAGATGGGAAAGAAAAGCTGTGGACATCAGTGAAGATGAAGGAATACAGCTGAGGTCTGAGGAACACCAAAGGGGAAGACAGTAAAATAGTGTAGGTGTGGCCATACACATACGGATTGCACATAACTGTGTAATTAGGTACCCATATGCTGGTTAAAGTCATCAATGAGTTTTCTATTCATAAGTAGTTTGTAGACAATTTCTACAACTTGCTCATGGAAAAGACCCAAGGCTTGCACAGAATTTTTGTCCATCGAGATGCATAGGAAAGGCTTTATCCTAGAGGAACCTGAACAGTTGTGACAGTCTGTATTTAAATGAATTCAAAAGAGGTCAGAGTGGTCAAAACTGGTGCCTAGCATATGGGTCTGACCGACAAGCACGATCTTGGTGCAGGACACAGTGACTGAGAAAGGGATAAGCAGGTTTGAGTGAGGGCTGACATGTCTCCCTTAGCCTGATGGAGTATAAACCCACTGCACATCCAGAGAGGATGTCAAACCAGGCTTAATATCCAAGTGAGTGTGAGACTTCCCAGAGATAAGGTGTGAAGAGAACAAAGCCCTGCATGTTTGTGTGTGTGTGTGCTGCTCACCTATCCACCAGGAATGAAATTGTTGCTTCCAGAAAGAACGGAAAAGTTCCTACACTGGATGGAAGCTTGCTCTGCATTTCACATTGAATATGCTAGCATAAGGAAAGCAACAGCAATTTCCCTGATGATTACAGTTTAACCCAATTCCAAGAATACTGCCTGCACATCCAGCAAGCTCTCTTGGACATGGACATTTCCTTTGGCTCTAAAGTACCAAGTCCACAAAATACCATATAAGTGCATGAAATGTTCAGGTTTTTTATTTTTTTTTTCTTCAAAAAGAAAACTTTAATCATTGTAAAGCTCAGTCCAGACGTTAATATATATTTCCTTTAAGGCTAGTAAGGACAGGTGGCCGTTCTGTGCACATTGCACATCTGCAAATAAGGCAGATCTGGCAAGCAATTTTAAGTTGTCTCTCATTTCCCACCCAGATATCTCGCAGCTGTGGATGAAGGCTAGTTGAAGATAAGCATGTTTTTAAAGCGGTACCTTTGATAAAGAAAGACAAAGCTAAACACTTGCATTAGAACCTCACCAGTGCAATAAACTGAATAGTACCAGGATTAATCCTCTGAACGAGTAAGTAAGAATTGTGTGAATACATGAAACAATAAATAGTGTAAGGTAATAAACCTAAAGTTTTCGGTTGTGTGGTAAATCACTGAATTGTGCCTATTTGCAGGGAAAGGATGAAAGCAGTTTGTGACTTTTGGCCCCCACAAATAAACAGCAATTCTTTATTTGCTGGGGAAGGGGAGAAATACAAAAAGGAGAGAGAGAGTTTGTAGCTGTGCTAATTCCTGTGGTTAGAAAGTATTTGGATAATGATGGGATATCATTAATAACAACCAGGAAGCAGAACAACAAACAACAACAAAAAAATAACGATCTCAGAGGCAGTCAGCCCAGAGTTTTCCATCAGTCAGCCCAGAAAAAAAAAAAAAAAAAAAGGAAAAAAAAAGTCAAATTTAAAATAACTATTGTGGATGAACTCACCACTGTGCTTCTCCAGGGCGATGACATTGTGACTGCTCTGATTTCAGTGTGATGGAAACCCAGACCAGCACACTGTTGACATAGACCCATTGTTTCATACCAGCAGAAACGCTGCTGAATTAATGGGACGGGTCCTGACTGATTCAGACCAGAATCTGAGGTTGGAGAAAGCCAAGTGAAGCAGATTATTCGGTCCTAGTGGAGATCTTTTAGTTCTCATTTCTGCAGGCAATAGATAAATTAAGTGCCAGGAAGGTGATTCAGGGAAGAACAGGAGCAATGAGGGCTGGGACTCAGAGCATGAAGCTGGCGTGAAACTCCTGAAGTCCACAGAATATCTCTTTATGCAAAGACAATCCAGAACCAATATATACAAGTCCTGTGGAGTCTATCCTGTAATGCCTTAAGCCTAAATTTGCAGATAACTCGAGGCCAAAGTGAATGAATATCCTAATAACCAAACATGCAGGTAACATAGCTGTACAAGGAACAGCCACATGCAAAAATGCAGAACAGGGGTGGCGTCTGGACAAGCGATCCTCCGTGCCAAGGCTTCTGCCAATGATCTCACACCCTTGGCAAAGCTCTGTAAGTGCTCTCAGATGGCTGTTTAGAGATGCAGACCACAGTTTTGGCCTGAGTTGTCTTCTGTTCCCCCAGGAGCATTAAAATATCTTCCTAAGGTCTAAGGTGTCCCCTGCTAAAATCTCTTCTTGCTGGTTGCCCATCTTCACCCAACAGGGGACGCTGCCTAGGTCACATCCTCTCAGGAGCTTCTTGAAATAGAAGAACCCCATGCACTTAGAAATGTTTTTATTTATTCTGTTAGAACAGCGGATTCCCTTATTGCTTGTGTTACCCACCTACAGATGTGGAAAAGTCAGAGGAATTTGCCCATACATCTAAAACTGCTGAGCAGAGTTTTCTTTCCACGTTCTCACCCGTCACCTCTACCCTAGTCTGAAGCTTGAAGACATCGGGTTCAACGCGACATTATTATTTCATGATGTGTTGTCCTGCATTGAGGCTGTTAGCAGACTATGTAAGTACCCAGATGAAGCTCACGAACACTTTTAAGATATTACTGAATTAACATTCAGGTCAGAATTCATGATAAGTTGTGTTAAAGTGCAGAGCCCCAGCATCAGAAACAGGAACCCCCAATTCCCCTTGTGCATACTAGGAAAGCACTAGGTCCCTTTCAGAAAGGAAATCTAAATTCATCCTGAGCGTCATTTGGACGTCTGACTCAAAGGTTTAGTAACATGTCTAGCCAAGCCACAGAACGTTTTCACATCTGGATGTGTCCCATTTGCTAAACAGCTTCAGTCTGCGAACAATTCCAAAATACACTGTGCTTTATTATTGTAAAAGAATGTAATGTTATATAACCCAATGTGAAAGCACATATTGTGGAATATTTCAGAAAGAACAACATGTTAAAACTGCACTTTTAAAACAAGGTTTGAATTTAACGGAGAAAATGGCCTCAACTGGTCTGCATATGTCAATAGTTTACTTTGCGTAATCGGCTGAGGGTAGAGCAGCCTGCCAGGAGAAACTGCTTTTAAAATTAAAATCACACCGGTGGAAGGGGAATGGCTTTCTGGCCTTTGGAGCAGGGATGGACCTGAGCCACAAATGTCTGATCTGGGTTGTTCAAAAGTTTGAAGCCTTTGGACCCAGGGGTATTGCCTTGGTACCTCTTTGGAGCAGATTTAGAAGTTGTCCTCAAGGGAGCGAGGGCTGTGTCTCTCTTTATAGTACACAGAGAAATCCTTACAGGTTATAAAAATCAAGTGAAGAAATAAGATCTTGGGATGAGGTGGATTTCCTGTGAAATATTAGCAATATCAAGCCTGACTTTGCCCTGGTTTTACTGAAAGGCTTCCTAGGCTCTGAAAAGTACCTTGAGTGCTTCTTCATCCTTCCCCTCTAAGCTGACAGTGGCCGAAATATCAGGTAAGCTCATTCCAGACCAAGATATGTAGCCGTGTTAGGCAGTTGCTGGTGGTATGGTGGAAGATTGCTAGCCCAGACCTTTCAGAGACTTTTTGGGGAAGCCTTTAATTTGCCCATGTCTCAGATACCTGCCTAGAGAAAGAGAAGTACCCTTCCATCTTAGAATAGCGCTGTGTGAATATGTGAGAAATATGTCTTTACTTGAGAAAGGCACCACTTAATGACATGATATCATGGTAGAAAAAGGCTTTAAAGATTTTCATACTCCAGCAGAAGTTTTAATGTAAAAGAGAGAAGCAGAGCAGACTGCTTTTTAATGCGTTGAGCTTTCTTTCACATGTCGTATAGAGAGACCACCTACAAGTCAAATTGTTTGTTTTGGAGTTTTCTTTTTTAATAAATAAATAAATAAATAAATAAATGGAATTTAATAGCTAATCATGGTCTCCTCTCTGACTTTCTAGGCATGAAGCAAAGAACCCTTGTTTTCCAGATGAGGAATGGACAGCTCACAACTCTTAGGATAACAACGCTCCCCATTTCTGCAATACTACTAACAAGAACACCAGCATGCTTAATACCTTGGGCAAAGTCTGCCTCAGAGACATGCAGGTCCTCTTGAATGCATTAAAGAGTATGGATGTGGTTCTTTTTGCACAGCCAGCCCGCTCTACTTGCATTTCAGCAGCAGGCAATGTCTGTGGTGGGAAACACAGCAGCCTTTCCCATTCTGTGCCACCAGGGTTACACAAAGGAAGGGAAGTGAGGAATACGTCATCCCACTGAAACTACAGAGAAAATGCAGGAAGAAAGAAAAACATCTGAGCTGGAACAGAGCCATGTCTCAGAGGTTAACACCCTACTTTGGTGAAAAGTGCCGTAGACACAATGATTAACAAAAATGGTCAAGGCCTCGTGTTTCATTCAAAAGAAGGTATTCAGAGAAATCCCCTTCTTTCCAGGCACACAAAAGTTCTGGGTAAAAACGTGCCACAAAGAGGATACCTTTTTTGGTTAGAAAGTCTTCACAAAAATGTGGCATGTGTCAGAATCCAGTGAGGAAATCAATGAATAATTCTCAGCCTATGGCTTATTTGTGAATCATTTGTTTACATACTTTCCTATGGATTACTCATGTCGTGCGGTTGATTGCTTGGGGCTTTGTTTTCACTGCAGAAGGGGTCTGTTCTCCACTTGGAGGTACCTGGATCAGTTTTCCTCCCCCAGCTTCATTTATCCTTGGGTTTCAAGTTAGAAACTGCCGTGTCTTGCCTCTATTAGGATTTATACTGGGATAGCCAGCTGGAGAAAGATAGCTATTTTAATGGAAAAAACCACTGGGCTTGTGTTTGTTTTTTGTTTGCTTTGCAGCGAACATGTCATTTTTGTCCAAGACATTGTTTCAGCTCCCTAATTGAATGACGGAAATTTTTAAAGCAGAACAATGAAATGCCATTCTTCTGAAAAAAAATAATCTGGTTGTCATCCAGCTATTTGCAAATAATTCTGATTGCAGAAGCCAGAGTAAGACAAACTCATTAAAGTATTTGTGAGTACATTTGACATTTTGTATTTTTCAATAGATTCTACCTACTACCACACTTGGGCATTGCTGTGTGCAGAGAAGGGAAGCCACTTCCCAGCCAGCATCACCAGTTTCTCACCCATTTGATCCTACTCAGTAAATAAAGCCATGTGCTGTAGCAGTTCAGCTTTCCTCTATCTTATGCTACATGAAGCTTTAACTAATTCTGATAGGAAACAAGATATCTAGGGGTTAGCAGGAGGCCCAGCTAAAAATATATGTGAATTAAAAGCTCACTTTCAAAATGTTTTTCTAGTTATTTAAGGTCTGCTTGTCAAGTGAGGTAGCATTCAGCAGTGAGCTGGATCTCAGAATCTCAGCCTTAGTCATTTCTGCTTAATGCAATAACCACTTGAATGAAATAGTTTATTTCCTGGCAAAGGGCTTAACAGAGAAATTAGGCTGTGCTCTGGCATGGCACTTAAATTGGCTTCCAGAAAGCTCATGATTATCTTCTGAAGCCAGCTGAGCCAAGAGTCTGTTCTTTCTCAGTGTTTCTTGGTCTGTTCTCTCCTTTTCATACCAGTTCTGCAGAGCATTTCAAGCTGATGATTGGGTCTGCTTGGGAAACTGCCCTAATTTGGTTCAGGACATCACTTCTGTTCTTTTTGTAGCTTCATTTTGTTGCCGCAGACGTCTTGTGCAGATGTAGGAACCCTGATCATCACCTTCTGAGAAAAAGGACTCAAGTTCTTAACAGACTACTAATAATCACAGTTATTATTGAGTATCTTTCCCATCTACTGGTCCACTTGGTTACTCTTCCAAAAGAACCAAACTTCACCATTTTGTTCTAGTATAACTCACACTGAATTCCATGGGAAGATCCATATTGACTTGAGCGTCTCTGGGTTATGGTCCATGTCTAGGAAGGTATTTTCATGTTATGATACTCCTCATAGCTTAAGAAATAAGTGCTTAGTTCGGGGAACATAATTCACAGTGCTGAGTTTGGTCCTTACATTCCCTCTACAGTAGATAGCAGAAGTTTAAAGTAGGCACTTACTTTAAAAAATTTAATTAACATTTTCAGCTTCTACAAAGGGAATCATGTCTCACTGCTAGCAGTTAGGTAATGTTATCATTATTCCAGGACACATTAGCATCTTAGCAGAGAAGCCAATATTCAGCCAGTGTATTAAGGAAATTACCTTCTCTCCCTGAGAGCTTGTCCCTCCAGATAAAGACTGGCGCATGTGGGATGGAGGAGATGCTAAAACTTGCATTGTTGCTGCCTGTGCAGTTCTTGTTTTTAATCATGCCCAGAAAGACACATTATTCTGTAAACATGAGTTTATGGGAAGAGCAACCTGACTATGTAAAAGAGAAAACACCTTTCATTATCAACATAATAGACTGAGCACAGAGGACTGCAGGGTGAGTTTCTCCTGTCCTTGAGACACATCCTCTAAAGGTGAAGAGGTAGGTCAACTCCCTACCCTTTAGTTTTCAGTCTATTAGCTTGGAAATGCATGTAAGTGCCCCAAAACGCAAGGCAGTGTGAGCTTTGTGACATGTTCCCAGCTAGGGAAACGGGACCGCAAGTGTGAAACATTTCTTTAGCGTGCTTCTGGCCAGCCATGAACTCATTACAACTTGCAGTCTCGAAGTGAGTCACCAGGAGGTGAAAAACTTCAAATCACATTGACTAATCCCTTGGGCTGATCAGGCCCTTTCCTCTCTTGGGCACGAGTGAAAAAAATTAGATTTTCCAGAATGCTTGGAACAACATCTCCATCTAAATGTTTCTGCATGTACAGGCAAAATATGCAAAACCCTTAGAGCACTGACAGAAAAGTCCGGAGGAATGTGAGCTATTTAAAAGGGACAGAGTGTTACAGAGATTCCTTCTTGAAATGGATGAAGTCTACTTGAGAAAAAGACCCTTTCTATGGTTTGTTCCATCATCCTATAGAAGCCCATGATGGGAATACAAAGCTGTTTAAAGCGTGATCAAAAGCAATCGATCAAAAGTGATTTGAAGTTCATAAAATGGCTTATTCTCTATTCCCTAACAAGAAGACAGTGAGTTGAGGGAAGCAAACAGCAGCAGCAGCATGGTGCCATAAGAGAGGTGCTTCAGCCCTGATCGGAGCTGCTGACAGCTCCCAAGAAGTTTTTGTGCTGTTGGTCAGCACTGACTTCCAAAACCGGAGTCTCTGGAGGAGTTACTGGCACTGTGTAGGGAACTAGCTCTCCTCTCCCTTGCTTTCCATCCACTAAATTGCTTTAAATGAGGACCTAAAAATACACCAAATGCTTCCTGATAAATATTTTTCCATGCACACCATTTCTGTGCTTGTCACAGGGGTGCTGTGAGAGTGAAACGTTCTACCAGCCACTCTCTCTGTCAAGATGCCCAGCACATAATGACTGTGTTGGAGAGCCCGGAGCTTGAATGTAAGTAGATGCAAAGCAGAGGAAACCCGGAGACTTCACTGCTCCAACAGGGATGTGGAAAAGCTTCCTGGTTTAAAAAAGTAGCAATAATAAAACTTGTGAAAACTGGGAACTCCACTTTTACGGCTGGCGTTATGTGATCCTTCCTCCCCTTTGAGGTACAGTGGATACCTTGTTCCACCTTCAGAAAACATCCGGCTGGGTGGAAGGAGGATGTTTGCTCTGTTCTTCTGAAGGAGTCTGAAGCAGAGCCCAGGCTGGGGCCCCTGATGAAAGGCTCCGTGATGCCACACTCCCTTGAGGAGATTTTGAAGGAATCCAGTTTGCTGCGAGGTACAAATGAAACCGTTTAGTTGAACAGGTTTTTCCCTTCGCGTGTAACGCAATCTTCCTTCTAAGTTAGTGGATTCCTTCATTTTGCTAAGGCACACACTGCCTTGTTGTGCATATCCAGTTATAATGTTAAAAAATAATAATATCGAGTGCTCTGCCTACTAGCGTTGCTGGGTTATTTGCAATTACAAATGGTCAAGTTTGCTGGTGAAAGTTTTGGTCCTTGAGCAACGTGTTTCTCAGCTGATAATCTAGGTCACCTGGATATTGTTGAGGCTTATGTCATTCTTTGGTTCCTTGTGATGAACACAGAAGACATAAAAGGAGAGTTGTTTGTCTCTTTGTCTGTTTTACATTTATCCTGGGAAAGAGATTGGAAAACTTGCAAAATCCTTATATAAGTAACCAAAATAAAAAACAAAAATAGAGAGACTTAACAAGACCCAGTATTTTGACCACTCCTTAAAGCACAGAATTATCATTTGTTTCTGTTGTTGCTATCCATTGCCTCCAGCTTCTGACATGCGCTCTGAAGAAAAGCATTCAAGATGCCATACCTTATACTTACTTAGCTGAAACTGCTGCAAAATTCTCTGCTGAAACAAAGAAAGGAAAAAGCTGATTTCCAGATTTTTAAGATAGTATCAAACAAATTCCCAAGTAAATGGATTGAAATGCCTGTAGAAATACACAAGTGAAACCATCTCTAACTCAGATCCCCAGTTCTTACAATGCTAATACCAGGGCAATTTGCCTTTCTACATTGCTCTGCTGTGGGGAGATCAGGGATGGTGCATGGGGCAAATTCCCCTGAAACTGCAGTCATGTCTGCTTTAGATAATTTCTGGCCAACTGAGGCCACAATTTGCTGCTGTTGATATTGAAGGCACTAAATAAATGGGCAAATGCCTAAAAGTGCTCATCCATGGAAAAGCATCCCTACAGTCAGAATTACTTTAGCATTGCCATAGCAGAAGTGAGGTCCAAGACTTGCCCCATATCATTCTCATCCATGCTAATGACAAGCCCAGTGACAATGGCAGCTTCTTCTAAATGCAGGACAGAAATAAAAGAGAAATCCAGCCTCACAAGGTTTTTTTCGGACTGTGTGTTTGGCTTGTAGTGCTGGTCCCATTCCTCGTGTCTGCACACTCTGATCTGTTCAGCAGATGCCAAACCCACTGCTTAGAAAAAGTCAAATGGTCTCCACGCTCCGCCAGTAAAGCCTGCTCCTGCAAAGCTACTTCGGAGCAATCTTGCAACTACCACAGGGCTAGAAAGGCTCAAGAGCATTTTTATCAATCAAGCTTCTTGTTTGTTAAGTAGCAAATGAAGTGGATCAGATTGCTTCAGTTCCAGCTCCAGAGGGTACAGATGCTATTTGATCTTGGCATGCTCCTCTCCAGCCACGCTGTGCGAAAGTGGTGACATTTTTATTTGTTTATTTGCAAAAGGCCTTGTGAACATATCCACCGCTCCATTTGGGGGTAATTTCATGGCATTCAAATAACTCAGGTTTCAACCCTTCTCTCGCCGCAGTCTGTGAAGCTGCAGAAAGCTGTTTTCACTTGTGGCGTCTCAAGCAGGAGCAGCCCACATCTGGGTTTGGGTCCTGTTGATGAAATTCGAGGAATTCCTTTGCTCATGGAGTTCTGCAAAGAAATGCGTGGAGACAAAATCCCCATTACATAGTGCATCGATCTGGATGTCTCAAATGGGGGAAGCTAGGCAGAAATACTGTATTTTCTATCTGTGTCTCCTGCTACAGTGACTGCTATGGGCTTGCCATACATGCCAGATTAATATCCCTTGAGCTCCACTGATTTTGGAACCAACAGGGGTGACACAAAACTCGCAGTCCTAAAAACAACTTGAACCAATCTGGCCTCCAGCAGAAAATAAAGCAACCACAGGGAGACATAAATTGTACTGATCTACTCCAGCAATAGACCCTTACAAGAAAATCTCAAAGTTGCATTTAAAAGACTATTTATAAAGAGCCTAATCTTTTCCAACTTGTGTGAGAACATCTCAATAATGTTCTGTGCATTAAATGGGATTAAAACAACTGATGGGCTACCCTACACAAACATGCTCTTGGATTTGTGGTTCATCCATTACAACACCAAAAATATTATATGCGAAAATTCACTTTAAACGTTTCATTAGCCTTCCTAACTCTGACCCAGCATGATGAAACATGCTGAGAAACTAACAATATACTTTACATAGCAAATGTATGTATCTGTCCCAGTCGGTTCTGAGCACAGAATAAATATACATGGATTTTCCAGCTGTACCAGATGAGGAAATTAAAGACCCTCCTCAGTAAAGCACTAATCATCTTGTTAATTTGAATAACTCCTAGGGAAAGCTTTAAGCAAAATAAATGACCCCTTCCCGTAACATGAAGTTACGGGCAGCAAATAAGCAAATTTGCACATGGGAAATAGTATGCAGCAGCACTAAATGCTTCCTGTTCAAACAGGCAACAGAGAATCTAATTCTCTAGTGTTTTATTGAGGAGCTGGGAAGTTAATGGGAGAGGGAGGATTCTGCTCAGGTTCACCCCAAGAAAGAGGCTAAAGCCATCACTGATAATCCTCCAGAAGTACTCCCATGTCTTATACTAAATTGGGGACTGGAAAATCTGTCGTACAAGGAGAGGCTGAGAGAGCTGGGCCTGTTTGGCTTGGAGAAGAGAAGACTGAGAGGAGGTCTTATCAATGTGTATAAATATCTGGAGGGGCAGTGTCAAGAGGATGGGGCCAGGCTCTTTTCAGTGGTGCCCAATGACAGGACAAGAGGTGATGGGCACAAAAAGAAACACAGCAGGCTCCAGATGAATATGAGAAAACACTTCTTTATGGTGTAACACTTCTTTAGGGTGATCAAGCATGGGCACAGGCTGCCCAGAGAGGCTGTGGAGTCTCCTTCCCTGGAGATCTTCAAAACCCACCTGGACATCATCCTGTGCAACCTGCTCTGGGTTCTGTGAAATGGGATCTTACAGGATTTTTTAAGTCCACCTCTAAATAAGACAGATCTGAGGAGGGTAACTACAGAGGGAAATATTAGTGTTGCCAAGATTTTCAAAACTCTCTATGATTTTGGTACTACCAATTTACTTTGTGACAACAGAGAAGGGCTCATTTTCACAGCAGAAGAGCACAGTTTTTCCCAGACCAGGCTTTCTGGGGTATTTCGAGGAGGTCACCCGGCTTTTAAAGATGTTAGCACATTCAAATCATCAATATCTTTGGAAAATCTTAGTCACAAGGGAACCGGCTTCTTAATAATGTTCCAAGCTGTGTGAGATAACCAGATTGGCTTTACTTTTCTGGCTAGCTCATCTCACAGCCTCTTCTGAGAAAAGCAATGAAAACACAGTTTGCTTCAACTATCGCAAGAGTGGCTGAAGAGGGAAGCAGAAAAATCTTATATTCCCCTCACTGTGCAACAAAATCCAACAAATAATGCTCAGATCTCCTCTTTGAGTGACCTAAGAAAAGCTACCTCACCCTTTTGGCAGCCGTCCACATTGTGCATTTTCTGTCCAAAGCTGGGGGAAAAAAAGGCCATAGAGGCAAATGATTTTGCAGGAGGATTGACACAAAAAGCAGTTTGGAGTATTTTTAACAGAAGCAAATATTTCACATAGTTTAACTTTCAAAGGCCTGGCTGTGGCTTTTGTTTAGTTTCTTTTGTACTTGGCGAGATCCCAGCATACGGTTTGCAGAACACGAGCTGCCTTTCCTGTACCTATGGGGTTTTTGGTAGCTCAGGATTAACGTCAGTCAAAAGCTGCATCTTGGGCGCCTCAGCAAATGCAAGTGCATTTGCCAGCTTGGTATATTAACAAGATCAGTATCAGTGTGTGGGGTATAGGACCCTGGGAATAGCTCATCCTGGGCACCTCATTAGTCATTAGCATTAGTCAGTCGATAGGTTTGCAACAGTGACTGAAGGTGGATATTAAATGTAAGCAGCCCAAATTAAGTGATGTTAGGCTGGGGGCTTTTGTCTGAAGAGTTGTTTAAATGGCATAAGATTGGCCCATTACATATATGTAACTATTTCATATGGAGAACTGCACATATTAATAATACCCTAAGTAAACCTATAACAGTAAATTCTCTTTCAGCTACACGGATGCAGCAGTTCATGTTGGCTGCCCTAGTCTCTAGTGGAGAGAGCTGGAGGAGGGAAGGACAAAGCTGAGAAAGGAGAGCAGAGGTGAAGAAAATGTCTTCATGTCACTGCTGGCTTTTATTTGAGTATTGTCTTTACCTCCTGTCCTTCATCCCACAAAAACTTCTCATCACTGTACCCCCAGGAGGAGCTGTGCTGAATATCCAGCCTAAATCACACAAGGGCTGAGAGCTCCCCAAAGCCTTCCTACCATTCCTACCAGACACAGA